CCAATGTAATTATCATCAACACATAAGTACAACTTACAGCTTAGGCCTCCAGTAATGCCATCTCAGAAGCAGATTTTACATCACATCAGAGCCAAAGATTGATAACAAACCTCATGACGTTTAGGCAACACGTACAACTAAGTGCTAAGTTAACATCTTGTAGAAAAACCTACATAGTGTCAAAAAAACAGAATAATGTCAAAAAAATCGGCATAATGTCACTTTTCAAGATACGTGATACCCGTGCGGGACCATCTGGAGTTCCTCGTACGTCACGGCCTGATTAGCGACAGGTATTATGGTTTCTGACACCAGCGATCCACAGGACACCTCCTACCTTACGTCACTCAGTTGTGGAGTAAAGTCACGCAGTCTTATGGTGAGGCTCATATCACTGCTCTTGATATCACGAAAGCGTTCAATCAGCTGTGAGATGCTGCCCTCTCATGCAAACTTCCTTCCTATAGCCTCCCAGATAAGCTTTAGCCGCCAGATATCCTTCATAATTGACGGGTCCTCCTCTTCATGCCACAACGTCAACTCGGGTGTTCACAGGGATCTGACGAGAGACCTGGAACTTATCACTGCTTGGGGAGGCAGAAATCTTGTACAGTTTAATGCTTCCAAAACACAGTACTGTATATTGACAAACAACAAGTTTCCTGGCGCTCATCCGGTTTCGACGGATGGTCGAGTTCTGACAAAGAGCCCGTCATTTCGGCTGGTCGTAGTCCAGAGCACCGAGGACTTGATCTGGCACGAATACATTTCGTTAACAGCGGCAACTGCTGGGAAAAAGCTAGGCTATTTGTCTAGGGTTAAGTAGTACTTTTCTCCGCATGACCTCCTCACTCTATACAAGGCCCAGACAAAACCTAGCCTCGAATATTGCTCACACGTTTTTGAGGTGCTGCTGCCCCGACTACACTATTCATGCTCGATGCTGCCCAGAGGATGAGTCCTCTCTAACAAACAGTCTCGGGATCCATTAGTACCGGCGGGCTGTCGGCGATCTAGCTTTCGTCTACCGCTGGGAATGGTTGGAATGTTAAGATTTTTAAAAACCCCTTTAGAAGACTCTGTGCTAGGTAGACCTACCCGATGTCTAACTGCCCTCTTCTGGGCTACGAAAACATCTTGTGAATTTGTGCTCATACCCCAAAAACACACACCATAACGAAGTCTGCTACTAAGATGGACATGATAGAGCATTAGCGATGGATCACGTTTCAGCACGGAAATTGTTCAATGAGTGTAGCTTGGAAATTAATGATTGGCAATGAAATAAATATCCAGCTCAATCACGGTTCTAAGTGCATACCTAGGAAGTTTATACTTTGACAGCTATTTGTGACTATGGAGTAATTTGCCACCCGTATCACCAAATTGTCACAATCACTCTGTCTGTTGTGAAACCTCAAAGCTACTGTTCTTCCTCCATTCAAGAGTAATCCAATCATATTAAATCAGCCGTTGATACAATTTATCGACGAAATCAATCAAAATTCTTACGATTTATACGTATATATGTACGTGCTTTGTGACTTGTGACAAATCTAAATCTGAGTAAAAAGTGATTTATGTTCTGTCTTTGCTCAATAGTAATTTGAGAAGTGTGTAGAGCTTGGCTGATTTTGTTCAGGGCTAGTGTTGCAGTAGAGCACTATATTAGATGACTGTGGCCTGTCAAGAAAATGCGTCGATAGAAGTCAATACCACACGTCCCGCATCTCTTCCCGCGTTTGTGTCTATTTATGTTGCTATATTGAATTTGTTTAAATCACAGGCTTCTGCACTGCAAGTGAATAGCCCTGTATTCCTGTACTTGTTTCGTACAATCATACATTATCAAAATAATTACGATCTAACAGATATAGTTTTTTCCAAAGATTTCCAACATTTATACGTGCGATCAACACCGATTCGAAAACTGAGAAAACGAAAACTATGCCGTAAAACTAAGTTCGACAACGAAAGTCTGGAGATTAACCTTAACATCTATATTGAGTTTCAAAAAATAATTGACTATACCTATTGATATTTTTATTACCCGCTGATATAATAGAAGTGCTTATTTGTGTCAGTATTTGCACCAATTACTTGATTTGCTTAATGAGCAGTTCAGAGTCTTATCGCTAAGCTTAGTACACACTAGTAGACCCCGTTGCGCAATTTGTCTATAGGCAGTCTGGAGACGGTCTCAAGGCACGATCTACAGATGGTCTATAGACATCCTTCTTTGTCTCGTCTGGCGCCCATACGATAATCTGAATTTTTCGGTCTCATGTCCATTTTCGCCATCAAAGACATGGTTTTGTGTGGAATGGACTGGGATATGTCTCGGGGTCCCTCGGGATGTTTTTTTTATGTTTTAATCTTTAATATTATCACACTACTTAGTTATAAATGCCACGAACTTTTTTGTTCTCATATAATGAAATATTGCCTTTCTGAGGATTTCTGAGCAGTTTGCATGTTTTTTTTCAAGTTGGCATTGACCAGATTGAACACAATGGATTTAAGGAGTAATAATAAGATAAATTTAGAAGTTCCACTGAGGTTGAAAAATTACTAACCTCAAATATATGTAGTATTATGTAATGCTTTGTGTGTAAAGCATGCGCGCGAAATTTAGTGATAGCATTGATTATACGTTAAGATTATCTAAGGGAAATTAATCCTGAATTGCCTCTAGTGATATGTATTACTTTGTAAGAAGACAGAGAAAATTACTGGTTGAAAAAATTGATCAGTTTTAATATTCGCGCATCAAAGCCAACAAAGGAACATATTTTCAGTCGACAACGAAAAACCCAGATTACTTAAAAAGTAAAACATCTGCAAAGGCCCGTTCTTCAGAATACGGTCCTGGCAGCTCACGAGCTCACACAGAGGTGGAAATTTTATTCCAATTTTTGGTGTTCCGTGCTCTGTAACATAAGGGATGTTGGTACCTCCGTCGTTATGTTTGGATGATGTTTATATCTGTCAATGTCAAAGCTGAGAGGGAAACGAATACGAGTTCTTAAATAATTTTTCAAGCTTTCTGAAACCAAAGTTCTACCTGATTAGTTTTTCGAAAAATCTTTATAAGGCTTTTCAGTTGGTCCGGAGCCCGAGCAAACATAACATGGTCATGGAAGACAACTGTTGAAATGTATTCTACTATCCGTAGCGAAATTTTTGCCGAAATCGTTGCACGACACTTAAAAAAATGCAAATGAAGATTGCCGCTTTGACGTTTTAAAGGCTCTCTCGGTACCCCGGGATAGACCTTGCTATTCTTGCCAACTGGATTGTAGCGTTGCCAGCCTATCGGACGATTTTGCTACCTCTGCTATTTTGATAGAATGTTGTAAAAAATAGTTTTGAATAAAATATTGAGGAATATTAATGGAGATATATAAAATTTCAGGCGTAGCAATGTTGATGTCTCCGAACCTTTTTTAAATGCCCAGTTTTATAGGATAAAATACTTTTTGAATACGGGACTTCTGCGTTTTCTTATCTGAGAGTATCACGAAGCGAGTCGATGTTTACGTTGACGGGAGCGGAAGCATGGAGTGGGAGCTGGAAAGGGGCGTGGCTGTACTACCCGGCCGTTCCGTATCGCCGCAGCGAGGTACAGCACGCACATCGCACACGCATCAGTCTCTCGGCAACCGTCGCCGCAGCGGAATGTCTACGCGCTAACAGCTCCGTGCAGAGCTCTATTCCGTTTAGCTACTTTTTTAGTAGTCATGTTCACTATAGGGTTCTCGATTGTGTCTCAGTGGTGCTTTAGTACTGTGACGTGGGTGTCAAATTTCTCCAAAGTGGAAATTAGGTCTACTTCCAACTCTTCTGAGGGAAACAGGATACATGTGGAACAAACTAGGTGAGCCTTGCATACTCATCTACTTGTGTGTTAGGGTTGAAATCCCATGTTTTTTAAATAAATGAGAATTTTAATAACGTTGTATAGCAGACGACAACGATATAGTATTCGTTTACATTTTTTCCGATAGGAGGCATGAGGACAGAGACGGATCTGAACATTCTTAAACATTTTCTCCTGGTTGGGATGAGAGATGACTGAATCAAATTGTTGAAGTAACGTTGATAGCTATTGTAATTAATTATTTAGATATTAGTTTTCATACTATTAACCAAAATATACATATGTATATGATGGTAGCGATGTCAAACATGTGAAGTTACTTACCTAATGTGCTAGGTTCAGCAGCCTTCTTCCAGAAACACGCACTTCAAGATCATTCACCAAAATACATATTTCATTTCACTTTCACACTTTATTCCTTTATTTAAAAAATGTGCTACAAAACTTAATGCTTTTCTTCCGAAGAATATGTTCCCAAGTACCGCTCGGGTTCAGGTCTTCATAGCGCCGTCACATTATGTGAACTTGCTGCTACTTTTTTTTAGGTTAATAACTGTGGCATGCTTACGATTTTCGATTGTAGTTACAAATGAAGCCAGAATTGTGGAACGACTTAATTTTTCTTCCGCTGATACCATTAATCTTATCAGTGACGGTTGAGGTTTTCTAGGGGTTTTCCGGGCCCAAATGCGAATGTAGTCACTAAAAAACCATATTCCCTTAATAAAGAGAAGAGAAAATGAAAACCGTACTTCTCCTATTAATGATCATGTAATTTTAGATTAAATAGTTAATAAATATATTTATATAATAAAATGTTTTTTTCTAATTGTTGGAAAAGTATTTTATCCTATAAAGCTTGCATTTATAAAGGTATTCAGAGACATAAACATTCCGCGGCATAGACGCCAGGCGACGCAAAATATAAATAACAGCTTTTTTTAGTTTTTTGGCAAACATTTCTACGCCTCAAATTTTATATATCTTCATTGGTATCCCTCAAAATTTTATCCAAAGCTTTTTTTTTTTTTAACATTTTAGCAAAATAGCAGAGGTAGAAAAATTGTCCGATGAGCTGGCAACGCCGCAGTCACAGGTGACAAGATCATATGGCTATCCCGGGGTAACGACGGAGTCATTTAGTACTTCAAAGCGGCAGTTTTCCAATATTCATTTGCATTTTTCAAGCGGTGTGCAACGATTTCCAGAAAATGTTTGCTACGGATTGTCTTCTAGAGCCTAGTAGAGTATATTTCAATGATTCGCTTGCGTGGCCATGTTATCTTTACTCGAGCCTGTTAACAGTTATCTTGTGAGGCCACGATATCTTTATTCCATTTAATCGGGGGGTCCAATCTGTCACGAAATAGGCTGTCGGACCCAACAATCTTGTATTTCTGTGCTGGTGTCTTGTGTCTAGTTTAGTGTATGTTTTGTGATTCGTCCGTTTGAATTTCTTTAACGGCTCTGTGTCTGACGCTGAAATTGCGAATTTAAAGATTGAACTGTTCTTATATTTACGTATTTTGAAAAAGAAAACTCACAAATTCATTAAACAGATTTATTGAAAAGGATACAATGAATGCATGGTGATTCCAAAAGACAAGGTGGCTGTAACATAGTCTGTCAAGATGAAGAAAAGCACAAAAACGGTGCGCGATGTCCCAAAGCAAAAGGCACCTAGGAGGTTGCCTCTGACGAAAAACCGTATTAACGCAATAAGCGAAGTGATTGCTAAACCAAGTTCTGAATCTATAATATCTTCGGCACATGCGAATATTCGTGTAGTTGTAAGAATTCGACCTCGGAACAGCAGAGAACATGGTGACAACAGCAGGTAGGAACTTTGTGTAGCAAGCAAAACATTTCTGATAATTCGTGATTGCTAAAATTCCATTTGTAATGAATAATTGAATTCCAAATGACAAAGACTGTTTTAAGTTATGCATATATATGCAGGGTTCATTTTCGTTACCTTCCTCATTTCTACGAAGATAAGGCAGTCCAAAAATCGGATTGACAAAGTATCTCTAAGCTCCTTAAAACAACTGTGGTACTCTAGCATTTAAGATCCTGCTTGTGCAAAAAAACCTCTGGGATATCAGACATATTGACCATCTGGCCTATTCATTATATATAGCTGAGCAAAAAATAAACACATTTCTGATTCATATCATAAACATTTTTTCCTGTGTGTGCTTGTGGATAATATTAAGGTAATTCTCTAGCTCAGCTGCACCAGCCTTTTTTGTTTCTCCATCTGAATAGACACTAGGTTTCTGTAGCTAAGCCAGAGTATTACCAATATTAATGTTAACAAAATTTATTTTTATGTACATGAACTCTACAAGAAGTATGGGGCACTTCACTCTTCAGATGAACATATACCACTCAACCAATGAATCAGCTATGTTGTTGTGCTATACAAAGTACAGTACAAGATATGCTCTACTCTTCATCATCAAGTGATACATCAAAAACTGTCTTATTGAGTTCAATGTTAAGTGTTTGCTTTGCCTAGTTTGAAAACACTCTAGATATCTTCAAAATAATGCTGATATAGAAAATTTCAAGTTGATATTAACTTATTTCATTAGAATCAAACAAGTATAACTCATTTTTACCAGATGGATTGGCTTCTTGTCTCGCATTTTTGAAATTTGCATAATTATGTAATATCCAGGATGAGATATTGCAGTACCTGTATAATGAAAAGGTTGACACACATCTAATTTCTAGCTCTACATAGATTCTTGCCTCAAACCATATGTTACAAATTCAACACAAAATGTTTGTTCTGGATGAAAATTATTATTTAATGCTCCTCTTTAAACCAGGTAAATTATTGTAGTTATTTAGGAGAGTAGTAATTTAAAATGTGAAATTTTTGCGCTTTGACCAACTGGGACATTTTGTTTTGTTTTAGCAACCACGCTATTATTTTTATATCACTTGATATTGTTCCATTCTATATTTCAGAGTTGTTGTCGAGGCTATTGACCACCAAATGCTGGTATTTGATCGAGAAGAAAAAGCTCAAGCATTCTTTTTCCGTGGAGTTCAGCAAAAAGGTCGCGACTTGCTCAAAAAGTCTCATAAGAACATGCATTTTATATTTGACAGGATATTTCCTCCACAATCAACAACAGCAGAAGTATTCCAAGAAACCACTCTGTCACTAATTGATTCACTCATGGATGGTCATAACTGTTCTGTCTTTGCTTATGGAGCAACTGGTGCAGGTTGGTATGATTGAGCATTCTCTAAAGTTTGAAATTTTAGAAAAATTAGCTGTTGACATATACTTTGATACAGTAACATTTTAAGCATATGATGATAATAATACACTCAATGAGGCAATAATTTCGATGTTATCAAGCATCATTGCCTCGACAGAATAAGGATGCTGATGGCTGCTAAGAGATGTTTTGTTTGCTGAAAAACCGTCTCGCCTTTTCCAACAGCGGAACACCACCCATTGAGCTGCCGCAGATATACTGCATCACTCAAAAACCACAGAATAAATTCGTAGTGTCTTGATAGGTGCTAAGAATTTCACAGCTCCTGACCAGCTACTGGTGAAACAAATTTCACGGTAGTGCAGGAGTTAAGTTGTGTGCTATTATTGGTATGGAATTCGGAACAGACAAATAATAATAATAATCTTTATGATCACAGAAAAAATACACGTGTTCATAGACATGTCAGTAATGAAAAAAGAAAAGTGTAGTATCGTAGACATAAAAGTACACTAACTATAATAAACTCAATATACAAAAAGACACTAATATGATTTTACAAAGTCGAGCAAAATGTCAAGAACATTATTAAATTATCCATTCAATTTAGTCAAATAAATCTTTGTAAAACAAGGATTTTTTCATAACCATATTTGAAATCTGCATCTCAAATTACACCACTGTACAGTATTTCGATTATCACAGGTTGCGAAGATTTCTTAGGTAGAAATTTTAGGGCAATTTTTTTCTCAATACATTATTAATAACTTTTCATTTCAGGTAAAACATACACCATGACTGGAACTCAAGAGACTCCGGGCATCACATTCCTAACCATGAAAGAACTCTTCAAGAGGTGTGAAGAATTGAAAACCACCCGAGAGTTTGAATTGAACATCACCTACCTAGAAGTGTACAATGAACTTGTAAAGGATCTGTTGAAACCTGGAGCGCCACTGAACCTAAGAGAGGATTCGAGATTCGGTGTTATGGTAGCTGGTATTAAGGTGTGCAAGATTGAGTGTGCAGACGATTTGTTCAGGCTTCTGGAGGAGGGTAATAAGAACAGGACGCAGCACCCGACTGATGCAAATGCTGAGAGCTCTAGGTCACATGCTGTTTTTCAGGTGTACATTCAGATGATGATGAAAGCATCACAAGAGGTAGCTAGAATAATTACAAAGAACACATAGTATATACTTAAAATTATACCTGGGGGTATTTGAAATGTGTCACTTAAATAGAACAAGTATACTATAGTGAGCTACTTTCCTTCTAATTGTTATCTAGGAATTTTTCTTCATGAAGAATTTTGATTTTTATGTACTCTAAACATCAACCCCTCTAACTATCCATATTTGATAAAAAGACGATAAATCCACTGCACATTTGTTATTCACCAGGAATGCATACCTACGATACATCTTACTTCCATTGATTGCGTTTTAATATTAAGCCGCGCGGGGGGAGTATATTCATTGGTTTTATTTTAGTTACAGACCTCATTAACCACCAGTCGGAATGAGGAAGTTTTCTATATTTTGAAACATAGTTAAAATGATAGTCTTGAGTAAAGTGAAGTACAGCACTGAACAATTTTTTAATGTCTTAAAAAAATGACAAAGATGTACTACCCAGAAGTTTCTTATTTGGAGAATTATCTTGTTAGAGCGTGAAACTGCATCGTAAAACGTGAAGGAATTAGAAGGTGCAGAGTAATGAGTAGGGATGCTAAATTTGCCTCTTTCGGAAAAATTATTGTACTACTGTAAATATCAGTTTGCTGTTAGTAGGTATTTTGTTAATATGGTAAAAGGATAAAATAAATATTAGTGTGTGTGTCTATCTTGATGGATAAATATCCTAAATGAGAACGGAGATTTTATTATTGCGTTTATTTCGAAATAATGTCAATATTGTTATACATGCTGTGACTGGAGAGGTAATACTCTTTGGGCCTAATCTGTGTTGACGTGGATATGCATAGGCGTGGTTCAGGAATCAAAAAACCTGACTGACAGTGCAAACAATTTGTAAAGGGTGTCTCAATAAGAGCGCTAAATTTGATTTTCAAGAAAAATACAATTTATTTTCGAATTAAGCGAGTATTTATATTTTAACACGAAAAGGAATAGTTGCGGTTAAACATGAAATAAGACATCCGGTAAATGGCCACGACGAAACCTCTTTCACAGGGTTAGTCTTTTCTTAAAATTCTGGATAACGTTTTCGCACAACTGTGGTTCGATTTTGTCGATAACGCCTCGAATCTCTTCTTTAAGGTGTTCAACTGTTTGTGGCTTGTTCACAAACACCTTTTCTTTCACAAATCCCCAGAGGAAGAAATCCATTGGCGTTCGATCGCACAATCTTGGTGGCCAATTTTGATCACCAAACCGTGAGAAGATATGGTCTGGAAACTTCGTGCGCAGTAACACCATTGTTTCGCGTGCTATGTGGCAGATCGCACCGTCTTGTTGGAAGAACATATCGTCCACATCAATTTGATACAACTGGGGCCGCAAAAACTTGGTTAAAATTTCGCGATACCGCACATCATTAACAGTTACCGCAGGTCATTTCGAAGAAATATGGTCCAATCACTCTGCGACTCCACAATAATACAAATGTATTATTTTATTCCTCGCTACATTCTATATGCAACAATTATAATTCCATAGCAGGCAGTTTTGACATTAATTTTGATTGTATCAATAAGATCTTGTCGAATTTCAGGTATTATTATAATAGCTAATTCTGTTTTTTAAGTTAGTTTTATGTATACATTATATGTATGTATTATAAGTAAAGATATCATTATATTGTCCTCTAATTGGAGTAGTTCTGTTGGGGAATTATGTATAAATAAATAAATACGCACCAAACGGTAACTCGCGGCAGCTGCATTGGTTGTTCGATTATTACACGAGGGCTTTAAGAACCCCAAATTCAGCAGTTCTGCTTATTGACGTAGCCGTTCAGTTGAAAACATGCCTCATCAGAGAAAATAATTTTCTTCGAGAAATCCGTATCAATTTGGTGGTGCTCCAGTGCTCAACGGATTCACGGCACTGCGCATGGTCCGTTGGCTAAACATTTTTACAATTTATTGTAGCCGTCATATTAGAACCGACAATTAGAATTTTGGAGACATTTTGACAAATGATATCAATATCATAACTCCTAATTTCATACATATTGGAACATCAATTTAGCTGTAGTTTGGCAACTCACACGTCTGTCGCATATAAACACTTAGTGTATAAAAATCCTAAGGCTCTTAATTTTGACTTGATATGCTATCCAATTTTTGATTTTACATCTCAAATCCCCCAGAGTCAGTTCAGAAAAACTTCAATATTGTAAGTGAACAGATGACGGCAATCCAAATAGTTTTTAGCATAACTTGTATATAAAGAACTTTGTTTCATCAGGTCCGAACAGCCAAATTGAGCATGATCGATCTAGCGGGTAGCGAGCGAGGTTCAGCTACAAATTACGTCGGAGCTCGGTTCACAGAGGGCGCAAACATCAACAAATCCCTGTTGGCTTTGGGTAATTGCATCAACAGTCTGGCAGATGGGCTGCGACATGTGCCCTACAGGGATTCCAAATTGACCAGGCTGATCAAAGACACTTTAGGTGGCAATTGCCAGACAGTTATGATAGCCAATGTGTCTCCGTCATCTCTTAGCTATGAAGATACGTATAATTCATTGAAGTATGCTAGTAGGGCGAAGGTAAGTTTATAAAATAGCGATTCAAAGGTATTTTGGTCATAAAATGTTTGTTGTGCGATTTTTTTTGTTCGATGCCAAGATATACTTTGTGACACCGATCCAGAAGTCATACCCTTAAGAGTGTAAAATCTAAATTTATTCACCCTTGCACTCTGCTTATCTTCATGGCTTCTGTTTGCGTCACGTTCATTTCTTACATACCTTCCGCACCCTTCCTTCTTTCCTTACGATTGCTACTGAAGAATAGAAGATAGGGTTATATGGCAACACCTCATATAGAAGTCGAATATCAGCGAGTGCACGTGCAAACGGCATTATTACTTATATTTTTCACATTTATCTTTACTGCCACAACCTTCGCAAGACACTCCCCTGTGAGGCATCCCCCAGCCGCGGCTGACCTACAAGGTTCCTAGTTAGTTTTTAGTGCCACAAACCAAACATCGCCTGCTTTTACTAGGACCATTTTCAAAGTAAGAAACGATTACGGATCTTGTCCGCGCAAATTTTTACGCGCTACAGATCGTATGACTACAATAATTGTCACGAACAATCAAACGAGGCCCAATTCGATAGATTTGCGTCGATTTATTACAGAGTTTCCATGGCCACCTCCTGGATCGATCATCAGATCATCTCCATGTCAAAATAACATTGCATTGTCCTATTAAACGTCCGCCATATTGGATTTAGAATATAGTTACTTTGCTCATTGTGTTCCCCTCATCAATGTGATACCTAATATAAGGGTGACTATGAAAATTATAAATCGCCGATTTACGCGGCCACCATATTGGATTGGTGTTCCTCATCAAGCGTTTTCAGCTGATAACCATACAGGGTGACTTAAAATGAAACATCATATATCAGACAGCATTTTAAGGGCGGGTCTTCTATGTAACATTTTTTTACTCGAGGGCTTAATTAAAAAGGCGTTGAAGTTAATATATATATAACTTGAGATGTGGTCAGTGTCGTTTAGACCAGTTAGGTGAAAAATAGAGCCTCCGCCTATTGTTGGGTACTTCGACAAAATTCAAGCAAGGAGGACTCTTTATACTTTATTTATCTCTAGCTTTCATTGGACTTTGCAATCTTCATCAGGAACTGCAATAACATTGAGAAGAAATAGCAACTATAGTGGCATTTTCCAATTAAAAATAGTACGCCACTGTTTTTTCTTTGAAACGCACCATTTGAGTGCACTGTTTTCGTAAAAATTAGATCATTCATGAAGAGCCGATATACAATTATTAGTTTCAAACTAAAATAGACGGTCTTGATACCAACTTGATGTTGCTTGGGAGAAAGTTTATCAAAGTTATGTGTTATACAGTTGTTATCGTTACTACTACCATTTTTTTTTTGTAAAAGTCAAGTCAAAAGTTTCTTTTTTCCATTTTTGAGTGTTGTCAAATGGAATTTAGCAATGATGAGTACGCCGATATTATTTTTGTGTGCGGGTTCTCTAATGGAAATGCCTTAGCGGCTTCTCGGGAAGATCAACGTAGATTTTCTAACAGACGCGAACCTACCCCAAAAGTTTTTACGCGTTCATTTTTAAGACTTCGGCAATATGGAATTGCCACACTTCCCGGAGCTAGAGGCCATAGTGTCCAG